GTACCATGGGACCAGAGACGTCAGAGGGACCTGATTGGATCTGTGTGTGTAGTCGACAGTGAGGTGAAACAGCTCTCTGTCTTGCATTCTATACTCCGCAGACCTCATAAGCGACCGCCTTGGATTATACGTTCGTGCCTAAACACACTATGGGGAGAACGGATCACAGTATGGACCAGTGTGCCATTAGACGCGAAGAGCGGGGGCGGGGGCGGGAGGGGGGAGATGGGGCAGATTATAATTTTATATCCACTCGGCATATAGTCGTGTAGTGTAGTGTGGTCTTGTTCGACCGTCGGCAAGACCCTTAACTAGGACCATAGAAACGGTTTGATCCAGATAGTGGAAAATTTAGAAGAAAACCGAGACAAAATGGGAAAAGTTTGCGCGGTAAGTTAATTGATTGCTCAATTTCTCTATTTTACCAAGAATATAATTTGATCGATCTGTTTGTATCAGAGGCACTGAAAACATTCCACTAAGGAAATAGTAGACTCGATGTAGTAAAAGTGATTTTCCCTTCCATTTACGCTCACATACAGATATTTAGTAATGTGGTCAGTAAAATAGTAACTGTATGAAGATCCAGTGTGATTGAGGAAACTTATATAGTTGTCTATTAAAACATATGGTACATCATGTGATAAATAGATAGATAAATTGAGAAAAATGAAATATCACTCGATGACTTAGTCAAAACGCTTATTTGGTTTTATTCGACTATTTTAGATCACAGAACTCCAGACAGCTCTGGATCGTGCACACCAGGAAAGTACTGCTCAGGGTGATCAGGATAGAGTAGCACTTCGAAAAGCCACGGAAGAAGTCCGTATGTTCCGGAACCAACTGGAGGAAACATGGTGAGTCTGGACACTGAGACAAGGAAACCAATCGATGCATATTGCTTGCAGTATAATATTTCTGCAAAGACGAGGAGCACAGTGTTCACATTTCATTTGACCTAAAAAGGAGTTAATTACATCACTTATGTTCCAGTTTTTAGGCATGGATGTTTTCATAATCTACGCCAGATTTTCATGGCTCACATAGCAGAATATATTAATCTCAAACAGTTATGTCAACCACATGGTCACCTCTTTACCAAGCTGCATAGACGTTTCGCAAACAGTTGATCAATGAGAGATGATAGCATGATACAGTAAAGATGGCACCTCGACATTTACAACCAGAGTCGACTGTAGGGTAGGCATTTGCGTGTGTTCCTTGATGTTCATTACGAGTTAAACGACAACTGAACGAGTATGATGTATATGTATAT